AGCAGCAGTTGGTCATTTTTTTCATATTTTATATTTTTATGATTTATTAAGCAATTTTAGAATGTTTCATTGCACAATTTCCTGCACTGATGGTATTTTTCAACAAGTACTGCTATTATAATAATAATAAAATAATAATAATAATTATAATAATAATCATCATCATCATAATCATCATCATTATTATCATTATTACTATTAATCAAATAATTTGTGCATGCTTTGGGAGTTAAATTGATCTATGAATATAACACAGGATCAAGGACAAAAAGGGATTTTTTAAGCAGCCAAATAATGACTGATAATTTCACATTATTTTTGCACTTTTATTTTGTCGCTATTTGAATTCAATTTGCATTTTACAGTATTTTACATTTTTATTTTGACGTTTTTTGCATTCAATATGCATATTTTAGTATTTTACACTTATTTTAGCGTTTTTTGCCTTTAATTTGTATGTTACATTATTTTTGCACTTTTATTTTGTCGTTATTTGCCTTCAATATGTATATTAAATTTTTTTGCACTTTTATTTTGATAATTTTGCGTTCAAAATGCTTTGCAAGTTTATTACATAATTTTACACTTTTATTTTGACGTTATGCACATTTAATATGCATATTACATTAATTTTGCACTTTTAATTTGACGTTATGCACATTTAATATGCATATTACATTAATTTTGCACTTTTAATTTGGTGCTATTTGCATTCAATATGCATATTACATTATTTTACACTTATTTTGGCGTTTTTTGTCTTCAATATGTATATCATATTTATTTTGCACTCTTATTTTGTCGTTATTTGCATTTAATATGATTATAACATTATTTTGCACTTTTATTTTGACGTTATTTGCTTTCAATATGCATATTACATTAATTTTGCACTTTTAATTTGGTGCTATTTGCATTCAATATGTATATCACATGATTTTTGCACTTTTATTTTGACGTTATTTCCATTCAATGTGCTTTGCATGTATGTCACATTATTTTTGCACATTTATTTTGACGTGAAACACACAGTAAATGTGCCGTCTGGTCTGTCTGACACGTTAATAACACCTGCCAGGAGGAAAAATAAGGAAAACACACACACACACACACACACACACACACACACACTATCCCTTTGTTCTCCATTAAAAGATTCCATTAAAAGCACGCAGATTTTTTTCCAAAAGAGTGAAATTATTGGCCTCAATCACTTTGTTCTTGTAAGCTGTGTCCACATTGGGCTTAAATACTGTCTTATCTCTTTCCCGGAGCAATAGAGGGCACATGCGTGAGATTCACGGCGGAAACATATTGCATTTCCCTCCTTCCGATATTCAAATAACTCTGTTTTTCAATTTAGATAAGAGGAACCTGCCTGTGCCCGTCACCCAGGTTAATAGTCAAAAGTTGACAGATAAGAGCAGGCTTTTTCTTTCCACACAGACACTTTTATTTACATAAAATGTGAATTCGGCATCGCCCCAGGAAAAATGTGTCACCGCGAGATATCCAGCCGGGAAAATGACTCGGTCTGCATTTGCTTGTGTTTTATGTGTTTTAAATATCAGACTTTCTTTCCTCGTCTTTATTTTTTTTTTTTTTTTTTGCACGAGTGCCAATTTCAAGACTCCATTAAAAGCGATTCTGAAGGAGAAATGAATACCGCGCCTCGTCAAAAGGAGACGACTAATGACGCCTTTTGATTGCCGCGTCAAAACATTTACCACTCAGTCCTGTGTCGCTCAAATTTGCCGTTAATTACCCTAATTCGTTCCTTTTTACATTGCAGTCAACAATTAGCAGAACCCTAACTTACTGTGATAAACGCTTTAATGAAAACGCCATTGATCTGTGAAGGAGCCGCGGCGTTCACTGCCACTTTACAGCCTGGTGGATTCATCTCCAGCACACCGATGTCTGTAAATAACACAATTCACATGCGTCTCTATTGTTTTCTGCTCGGGTTTTGTGTTTCTGAAGACCAGAGCGAAAGTTTTGAAAGCACTTTCATACAGGTTATGGGCTCTAGTTTGACGATCCATGCGCAAAGTGCAGAGCGCAGGGTGCAAAAGCATTCAGGCCGTGTCAGAATCCACTTCTGCTATTTTAAGGATGGAAAAATTCCACTTTGCGCCGTGGCACATGGCCTAACAGGGTTATGCTTATTCTCTTAATGAGTTAAAGGTGTGTTTTGAGAATAAACCAATCAGAGTCTCATCTACCATTCGCTTTAAGAGCCAGCTGCATCACGCCACAAGCGCATTTGCTATTTACATGACGACTTTGTAAGTGGAAAAACTGAACGCTTCACTATGAGGAAACAGTTCAACAGAGCATCTGCAGCGCGAGAATGAGAGATGAGCCTCCTCATTCTTTACTTTCCCTTTTACTCTCGTGGATAGGGAAACATGTTGTACACAAAGACATCAATTAGCCCAAGGGTCACCAACCCTGTTCCTGGAGAGCTACCTTCCTGCAGAATTCAGTCCCAACCCTGATCAAACACACCTGAACCAATTAATAGTACCTAAAGCAGCACTTGATGATTACAAACAGGTGTGTTTGATCAGGGTTGCAACTGAAATGTGCAGGAAGGTAGCTCTCCAGGAACAGGGTTGGTCACCCCTGAGTTAGCCTATACAGAATTAATTTTGTTTATTAAGCGCAAAGTTTTGTTTTAAAACTATTTCTAAACTCAGTTCTAATTTCCAGCAAACGAATAAATAAACAATAATAACGAGATCTTGTCAGAAAACTGAGTTATATCCTAATACACATGCTGTGCCCCATATGGTCTAAAACCTGACAGGTGGGCAAATCTAAGCTTGTTTTTAATAAAACTAATATAATTATGCATATAATAAATCAGTGGCTCTCAAACTTTTTTTATCAAGTACCACCTCAGAAAAAAATTGTCTCTCCAAGTACCACCAAAATGAGCAGTATTGAAATACAATAGCATAGTCGACCCAGTAAAGCAGCTACAATTCTGCACAGTTAAAAAACGTGGCATATCACCTCAGAAATATAGGCTATATGTCATATATGGCATATAATGTGCATTGTTTTTTGACAAATTTTTAAATGTGTGTAGCATATACATATTTCATTCCCCTGCGTACCACTAGTGGTACACGTACCACAGTTTGAGAAGCACTGTAATAAATAATACAGCTAATAATAATAACATTATACAAAAGCAAATTGTCATGAATAAACTGAAAAAGCCCTCCGAGATGAAAAAGGCATGAAGGCAGTGGTGTTTGTATTAATGTAGGCTAGAAAATAATAATTTTTGTACTATTTTAATTATTTAATTCTTTTTCATATGTAAAGATATTTCAGTATTGCTGTACATCCTGTGTGTATTAAGCAAAGCGATGCGCACAACTAACGCACTCTGTGCTGGACTATAGACCTGCTTTGATCTGGTCTATTAAACAGACTATTTAAGTTCCTCAAGATAGCAACGCGCCAGCAATGCGCCTCAACACACTTCCTTTTTTAGACCACATATGAGGTCAAATGCATTTGCTATTTAAACAGCGTGGTGCAAAACGTCAAAACGACTCTTGCTCCAAGCTAAAACTGGCATACAACAATTGCGTCAGCCTTGCTCCACATTTCGCCAAGTGTATGATAGAGCCCTATATGTATGAAATGAGAACTGGAGCTGTAGAAATGAGCCGTCGTCTAATTTCAAAATGCTGTTTAGCTTTAAAATGCAGGTGATCACTTTGTGTTGAGGCTTGTTGCAGTCGGCTACTACTGTAATAAGTGAATATTTTCTTTATACTCTTATTTTGGTGTCCACATCCAATAACGAAATAATTGTGGGTGGCACGGTGGCTCAGTGGTTAGCACTGTCACCTCACAGCAAGAAGGTCGCTGAGTCCCAGTTGGCATTTCTGTTTGCATGTTCTCCCTGTGTTGGTGTGGGTTTCCTCCGGGTGCTCCGGTTTCCCTCACAGTCCAAACACATGCACAATAGGGGAACTGATGAACTAAATTGGCCATAGTGTATGAGTGCGTGCATGTATGGGTGTTTCCCAGTACAGGGTTGCGGCTGGAAAGCCATCCGCTGCGTAAAACATATGCTGGAATAGTTGGTGGTTCAATCCGCTGTGGTGACCCCTGATAAATAGGGGACTAAGCTGAAGGAAATTTAGTTATTTAATTGAACAGCCCTAACTCGCACAGACTTGAGTCTCCAGCTCCGCATCTCAGCCGAATCGTGGCTCCATTCAGAAGCACTTTGCTTTTAGTGTCCCCTCATTTTTTGTCCTCCTTTCAGAGCGTTTCTAAACTTACAATTAGAGAGAAATTAATCACGTCCAGCGCATCAGGAATGGAGACAGTGGCTGTAATCAGAGCGAATGGAAATGAGCGATATCAGCCAGCTGCGCTCCCGTATCATTATACTGATATGCTGAAGATCACCAAGAAAGGTGGAGGAAAATCAATTAGCATAGCAAACGAATCTTCAGAGATAAAATGCTCGCTTCTGCACAACTGCACTCCATTTACTACTGTAAAAAGTGATTATTTTACACCCATGTTGGTGTCCACGTCAAATTACATTTACAAAATAATTGTTGGTCACACTTTATTATAATGCACAATTCACGCTACACTGTTCAAAGCGATGAGTAAACCTGTTGCCTAAAAGTGACTTTAAGTTAAGTTGGCTTTACTTCAAAAGAAGTGAGTGAACCCATTGTAACTAGGAACTATAGAGTTGATTTAACTTAATTTTAATAATTACTCACATTTTGTTGTTCATTTACAGGTTTGCTCACTTTCTTAGTAAATCATTTTTACAGTGCACTCACAATAAGGATGTGCATCATTAATGAAATGCATTGTTAATAATAATAATAAATATGAGATGATGATCATGATGATGGTCACGATGATGCTTATAATAATAATAATAATAAGAAGAAGAAGAAGAATGATGATGATGATGATGATGATAATAACAATAAACTAATTATAAACAAATAATTATAAATACAATAATAATATTAATAATAATAATAATAATTCAATAATTATATTGTTAGTCGCTTTGGATAAAAGCGTCTGCTAAATGTAAAATGTAAATGTAAATAATTACATTAGTAACAACAACTACAATAATAATAATAATAATAATAATAATAATAATCATAATAATAATGATGATGAGGATGATGATAATATTAAACAAATTATAAACAAATAATTATAAATACAATAATAATATTAATATTAATAATAATAATAATAATTAAATAATTTTATTAGTAACAACAACAACAATAATAATAATAGTAATAATAATATTAATAATACATTGTATACATGTTTATTATTATTATTATTATTATATTATTATTATTATTATATTATTATATTATATTATTAATAATAACAATAGATATAATAATAACAATAATAATAATAATGATGATAATAATAATAATAAATATAATAATAATAATAAAAATAATAGTTATTATAATAATAATAATAATAATATACATGATCAATGTATAATTTCATTATATAATATTCTAAAATATTCTAAATTCTAAATTAAGATTGATTTATAAATAATATTTTAAAATAATATTTAAATGTAATTACATGTTATTTTTTGCTGAAAAAAAAACCTGACAGTGATTTAAGAAACTAAACTTTTTAAGGCAGTTTTTGAGAAAATCTGGATTGCATCTTTAATTTAAAATGATTCATTATTTATCTTGTGAAACAAAATTATAAACAACTTATCGTCATCATCATCATAATTATTAATATTATCATTCATTTTTCTTCGGCTTAGTGCCTTTATTTATAAGGGGTCACCACAGAAGAATGAACCGACAACTATTCTAGCATTTTTCCGTCCGTCCGTCCGTCTATTTATATATTTACCTTTAATAATGTATTTTGCAATGTAAACAGCTGATCTCCACATCAGAAATATCTCATAAGGCTTTATAATTAAACTGCAGGATGTCTAGACCAGATCTCGGCTTGAGCAGGAACATGCACATTAATCATCAATTTAGACAGACTGGAGATTTCTTTAATATTTTCCTCAGAAATGAACAAAAGATGAACTTTCACCTCCTGAACTTCTGAGTTATTTTTATTGGGTCAGAGAGGAATAACTGCAATAGACGTCCTGCATTTCTGAAGATCTGACCCTTCAGAAGACCAGAGATAATGGGGTTCATTAAGTCAATGTTTAAAGGAGTCAGATCATTAAGGGTTTCTGCTCTAAGACACTGCATTAGCCCAAATTCATACAGGAGTTCTTTGATACTATTATTTGGTTGATTTTAGCAAATTAGCATGTATCTGTTAGTTGCATTGATATAGTAGTATAGCTTAGATATAAATTGATATAAATAAAAATTGATGTGTTTTTTATATATTTATCTATACATATTATTATTATTAAATATTATTATTATTATTTTTATTATTATTATTAAATATTATTTATATTTATATATTTATTATTTATTTTTTAGGTAGTAAGTGTTGAACA